TATTCTAGATCTTTCCTGTTCATTTATAAAAGGGACCCAAAGCCAGTTTGTTTTGTACATGATTAAAAACAAGACAAATCCTAGATCTATAATTGTTTTAGATTTTGATTTACGTAGACAAAATGATGCAAAGTTTTGAGATATCTGATGACAAAGATAATGCAAAATGTGGTGATATTTCTATAGAGCACGCAGTTCTCAAAAAAAAAATTTCCGGGGTAGATACTAACTGTAGTCACTCTTCTACATGTTTATTTTTATCTATTTCTATTTATTTATAAACTTGATACCCTTTCTAATAAGAGTGAGTCTCACATCACGAAGCTAGAAAGTTCTTCTAATGGGAACAACCCGAAAAACAACTAACAAAACCTTATTATAGTATGACTTATACACAATATGATAATGAGGATGATTTCAAATGATATCACAAAAAAAATTCAGTATAGTAAATAGAAAGTGGCAAAGTGAAGAGAAAAATATTAATACATGAGAGGCAAGAGAGGGGTTTTTTTGTTTAAATGATGAAACAAGAATAGTTTTGTGAATATAATATTTGATGTGAGGTATATTTGATGGTAGATATATATACTTTCTTCAAATATAACAAGTTTATGTATATAATTGCAATCTGAAACTTAACAACAAATTGCTTGAATGAATTTGTAATTTGGTTTAAAAATTTGGTCTCCTTAACATTATCTCCTCTTTCTTGCTTCTTTCTTCGTCTTTTTATCTCCTCTCACTCTAACTCGTCCACACCATCATTTTCACCTACAAGTACTTTTCAATTTTCAGACACTCACTCCATTACAGAAAGAGATCCTCTCCAGATCTCTTCCACCAAAGCTCACGGATCAAGTGATCCAAGCCCTTGAAATTTTATCTAACGGCTAAAAACAGAAACTCCATTTAAAAATTATAATAATTTTAACCGTTGGATCAAATTTCAAAGGTCCGGATCACTTGATTCGTGAAATTTGATGGAAGAGATCCGGAGAGGATCTCTTTCCCTCCATTACTTCCCAGGCACAAACCTCCATAGAGCCATAATATGTTTAAATAAGGAAAAAGGAAAATATAAATCTTATCATTTTGAACTCATCTTTTTATTATTAGTTTTTCTTTTCTTTTTCTCTTTTTTTTTTCTTCAACTTATTAGTTTTTCATTATACTAAGTATTTCATTTGGTGTATTACCACATTTTTCTTCAACACATAATAAAAGGAGTGACATATAAAAATTTACATTTTTCTCTTTAAAGATATTTTACTATATTTACGAATGGTATGTTAATTATAAATTACGCTAAGTTTTATTCTTTCCTATTTCTTATTTCTTCGTACAATGAATTTCTCTATAAAAAAAAAAACAAAAAAAGTAACATTGTTTCAATGAATTCGTAAAGATTTCTTTCAACGTCAAGTAATCAATGTAAAGATAAGGATGAGCCATTGTCAAATAAGTGTGAAGAAACAGTAAAGATTTCTTTCAACGTCAAGTAATCAATGTAAAGATAAGGATGAGCCATTGTCAAATAAGTATGAAGAAACAAAACTAGATAAGACCAAACATAATTTTGACAAAAAAAATATGTCACACAGATTTATGCCCACAATACTTTCAAAATTATCATTCTAGATTTTTCCTCTCATATATTTACCATGTAAAGCATGCCGATTCACATCATTCGCCTTTCTTCTTCATCATATAAATGCACAGATATTATGTGGTCTTCTCTTGACAAAGTTTAGTTTCCTCTCTCAAGGGAGTCACCAATGGCAAATAATGGTGGTCAAAAAGTTCAATTTTGAATTTGAAAGTCATTGTTTGTAGCTAGTATCATTGGCGGCTGCAGGCAAAGTGGAACCAAAGGTACTCTAGGAAAAAAGGAAGAAAGAGGCGAAGCCCTTTACATCCACCCTTAAAGACCACACCTCTCATAAATATAGTTGTCTGCTTTTCAGCTAGATTGTAGAGAAGAGGATAATGATGCAAGCCGGCAGGCTCTACAGGTAATATGGACGATGAATGTAAAGGACTTCACATCATTACCCTTTTCTCTATAATCCAGCTGGAAAATAGTCAGTTGTGTTTATGAATGATGTGGTCATAGAGGATGGATATAAAGGGCATTGCCCTGTGCCTCCTCGCCCTACGGCGTAACTTTGGTTCAACTTTTCGTGCAGTTGTCAACATTGGCGACAAGCAATGATTCTCATATTCAAAGTGAATTTCTTCACCGCCATTATCCTTCATTTGGTTGAAGACTTCAAATTTAATAAGAGCATGGTCACTCAGACAAATCATAATAGGCACTTCATCACAAGTTCAATAGTAGATCAATACGTTGAATTTTCCTTTTTTTTTTTACTTACGCGTAGCACCTAACTTCCAGCTGCTACCGGCATAGATTTACATAGGAATTTACAGATTACGCACTTACAAGAACTGTTGCCAGTGGGGAATCTTGTACTCATCTTCAATTAATGTAATTCGACCAATTCTTCCTCAAAGGGATGAGCACATGATGAATTTTATAGAATGCTAATAACAAATTTTTTTTCATGGTTCACATTTCAGTTGATAAAGATAATTTTTTCAAAACATACGATATTATCTACATAAAGGAGTGAGGGAGCATGTTAACCCTCACAATTAGCTAGCCATAATAATTTTGTTCAAATTCGCATTTTGGTGAGAATCGAACCTATAACATCTTACTACTAAATTTTGTTTGGATTCAACTTTCTGAAATTTGATCACCTCTGTAAACAAAAAAAAGAACAAGAAGAAAAAATATAAGCAGATAGTACTCGTATATATTCATTGGTATTATAAGCCTTTTTTCTTTGTTATGAGATTGTTGAATTTATTATGTCGTTGTCTTTTAACTCAATGGATTATTGAGAAAAGTAACCAGGTTCTTCATGCATGTGTGTGTTTTATTTTGCCAAGTGGCTATTGATCAACTTCTTCACGTATACAAATTCGTTGATCATTACTGGATGGCCGATGAGGTGTATTTAAGAATTGTTCGAGAAATATTCAAGAAAAAAAAGTAGATAAAACAAGGACCCATAAAAATTTAGGTGTGTATTTACATTTAGTTATGATCGTTGGATGTTATAAGATTCACATGCTACAATAAAGTGTAAAAATATTTGTCTCTTACTCTTATCTCATTTAGGTATATTATGTTAATTATAATTACGTTACATTTCATTTGTTTATATTTGTCTTATTTTTTCGTACATGGAATCCATTACATAAAATATACAATAATTAATATAAATATAAGGATGTGTCATTACAAATAGTTCTGAAGGAATCAAATCTGATAAGATGTAACTTAAACCGCACACAGAATTATGCCCATTATATTTTTTAAACATTATTCTAGATCTTTCCTTTTCATCCAGGACTGAGTTATTTTATACGTGATTACAAATAAGATGTATCTTGATCAATAATTGCTCCATATTTTAAATTACATAGAGAAAATGATACAAAGTCTTGATAAAAGTAATAACCAAGACAAAGCGGAATATGATGATAGATCTCAAGAGCTTAAACCATGTGGAATTCTCAAAAATTGTATACATAATTGACCACAAGCACATTAACTTTTATAGCTCTTTTATTCAGTTTTCATTTTTTATCTATTTACGTTTATTTTTCAGGTTTCATCGATTTATGAACCTTATCCACTTGTTCACACGCCTGCTTACACACCCTCTAATGCAAGTAGGCCCTGTACAGAGCAAAACATGCCATTGGAACCCAGGATCTGCTCCAGTACCTAAAGGATATGGACGCTGAGACATTCGAGGACTTTTACTCGCTTTCAGAGCTGGATCTTGCAAATGTGATGAGCCTGAAATGCTAGGAGGTGGAGAGATAGAACATCCACTGCCACTTACTGGCAAAGTACTGTCGGCAGTTTCTCTAATGGTGGTCAGGCTGCTGTCCACGAACTTCACTAACCCCACAACGTATATACATAACTCTACCATGTTCGTTTAAACCAGATTCCAACTATAACCTTTGTACAAGCACCCCATTACGTTTTTTATTATTTATAAATTTTCTCTATTTTTTTTCTACTTGATTATTTACATCGAGAACCTATTCTTTATCAAATAAACATGCTAGAGGGGTCGCTCGCTTGCCTTCAAATGCAAGTTGGTGTTCTTAGCTTGTTCAAGTTCGGCACGAGCACGGCTGAACACGGTTTGTTATCACGACTATCGTGACGTTCGAATATCTTTGCTTGATCAGTCTTATTTGCCATTCGCAGAACCTTCGCGTTTAAGAATATCGTGGACGAGACTAAGATTTTCATTCCTCATGGGTTTTTTTTTTTCTTTTTTTTTTTCTTTTTTTTGTCGAAACTGGAAATTCATTACCAGAGCAAAAGCCTATAAATACAAGGAAAGTAGAGTGGTGAAGATAGAGACTTCTAGATGCTGCACCAAGTGCCAAACGTTGCTCCACGACTTCCCCGTGGACTTCGCTAGGCGGAGTGCATGCCTGCCGTGATGGTTTGAACAAGAAGCTAAGGTCGCGTACCAGATCCCCAAATGACATTGTTAGGTCCTCATGCATTGAGAAAACACTGGATGCGCTCTTCCCTTTCGATAGTTCAACAATAAATTACCCCGATCTCATTCATCTAATCAAAGAAAGTAAACAAAACCCGCCTCCTCACTCAATTTCCTTCTCTTAAAATAGTTTAGAAAGTAGAATGATGAGAAACGATAAGGGGGTTCTGTCAAACGCGAGGCTCTCCATGGACTCTCTGCCACCTTAAAGTTTAACATCAATTTCCGTGCAAAAAGAATGAGGAAGCAGAGAGTCTATGAAGAGTTCCACTTTTAAGAGGTGCCCTTAGCATTTCTACAGAATAATAAGAACTTCAAGATCCAATACAATTTCAAGAAACAAAATCTGCATGCTTGTGCTAAATAGCTGATTCTCTCACATGGTAAGGCCAGAAATAATAGCATAAAACAACACATCATCATAATTATTGGGGTAAAAACAAATTTCATAATTTAAGTAAATATTCTAATTGTCCTGCTGGGGAAGTTATGCAACTCTACATTGCAGAAAAGGAAAACAAAAATACGAAAGATACAGTGACAAAACTTCCTTGGCCCAGAAAAATTAGGGAAAAGGGATACATTCAAGAGGATATCAAAGAACAAAAAACAGATACAACTGAAATTTGATGCACCGTAGTCAAGCAAGAACTGTTACCACCTTGATCGGCCATTGATGCTCTCGGACTTAACCTGCAGAAGTTCCAAAAACCCGATGGTGCTGCTTGACGCGAGTGCAAAGTAAACGAAAATGAAAGGGCTCCCCAGCAAGAACGAACAGTGAAAAGTTATCAACTATAGTATGCCTTATTGCTATTCATGTTGGCCTTATGAACCTGGCCATCTTTCTGAATCTCCGATTAACGTTTATTTAAGGTCTGGGAAAACAAAATTCTGAAAAGCCGCAATACAATTAAGTCTCTTCAAGATCTCTCGCTTCAAGAGCCGAAAATTTTACATTCTTAGTGAATCCTGAGCAAAGAGTGCCTCCGCCTATCGGGCTTGTGCCTCCTAACATGATCGTTATTTACGGGCCTCAACAGTCTTTCTGCTTCAATTTCAGACTGAAGCAGAGACTGCAGCACCTTCAAATGTGCACTGCATTTCTTGTGGTCAAAATTGTAGGAACCATTAACATTCTGTTCTTCTAGATTAAACTGTCTCTGGTATGGTGACTGCCATTTCGCTTGCAGATATGCAAGCGATCTCCATGGAGGAAGAGGCATCGAGTTCTGCTTTAGGGAAGATCTAGCAGCTTCAGCCATAACTTTAAGGTACTGTTTCAGCCTAGTCAAGGATCCCACATAAACAACTGGTAGTGAATTCAATATTCTATCATACGATTGGACAGCTCTAGCTATTTCAAAGTGGCTCCGGAAATCAAGATCAATGATGAGACGCTCAGAGCTCCCCAAATTGTTGTAGTTCACCACATCAATATATTCATGATCCCCTGCACAAAGATGATACGAAAACAAACTCTCAAAATGATTGAACTCGAAAATTCCTACACCTCAATTGCAATCAGAAACCTATCGGACCCAGTTAAATAGGCAAGCCTATGAGACATTTTGTGATACATTTTCTACTGATTGCTGGACAAAGTTCGTGGGATCATAGAATCGGTATATGGGTAAGCTCAGGGTTCAGTTTACAAATATTACAGATATAAACAGAATGTGTTTAACGCACCCAACAAAAGAACAACTCAGGAAAGAACCACCTAAAAATTCCACAAAATAAGGTTTTTGCAGAATTGAGATAAATGGCATACCTCCGGGGACCTTGCTACTGCCCTGCCACCGAGCCGCGCACACGGCAGCGTCATAACCTGAAAGCCTCAGAAGCTTAACCAGAGCAAACTTGAGGCAGCTGGAACTGCATTGACCTGACTTATCAAAATTAAGATCGTTTTCGCTGATGGACAGTATCAAAGAATGAACCACTGAAGTCAAATCGCTTTCGTACCGAGCCATCGAACGCTTGAAAAACTGCAAAACAACCCAAAACCACCATTCAAAATTCTGCATAAATTAGAGGCAAAATATGAGGCTGAACAACTCAGCACATTGGGAGTAAAAATTATTGCTTTCGCATTCGAAAAGCTGAATTCAACGCTCTGAAATTACCAAGTACTTTTAAAGTTTATAATTTTACAAAACAAAATAAACGACCAAACAATCGAATTCTTACCGGAATTTTATCGGCGAGATGACCGAGATCGGAGAGAGCAGAATCGCTGTCGCTGCTACACCACGACTCAGCTCCAACGCTACCGTTTTCCAAAAAATCAGTGACCATGAGAGCGAGGTCGTGCTCGCTCTCGTGGCTGAAAGCCCCTCCGATATTACCCCTCATCCACACGTCGCCGCCTGCCATGCACACTACCCGGCAGTCCATTCCAACCCCCAAAACGCCTTCGTTTCTTCTCTAACAACGATCACCACGACCCTTCCTCTTCCTCGCGGGTAGCAATCATCTCCTAAATCCAATGTTAGAGCTCACCTCACCCGATTATATTCCTCCCCCCAAAAGCCCTACCTAGCTCAATCCCCAGCTGGAATTTTAACAACAAAGCCTCCTAATTTCTCAAAAAAAGCCGAATAAAATTCCACAAATTCATAAAATTAAAATTAAACTGTTCCGAATTGTTGGTTTGTTTCCAAATTTTGGTTTGGTTTTCAGAAACGTGATTTTTTGGTAAAATTTGATTTGATTTTTTTCAGAGGGAGAGAGAAAGAAGCCGGAACGAAAGCTATGGGATAGGAAGCAAGAGCTCACATATAAAGCGGGGGAGGAGGGATGTGGGAAATGACGGAAGTGCCCTGGGGAGTTGCTTTGGGACCAAGTAATCCTCGGGCGCTCCCACCGAAATAATCGAGGCAAAATGGATAAGGCGGAAACTGTACTTGGACTGTAACTAGGTGTGAGTTCTTAACTCGTTTATGGTGTTTGGTTGGCTGCTGGATTTTGTTACTTAATTAACGTAAAAATTTGTCATTAGTAACAATTTGGTTCCTAATTGGTGTATTTGTTTTGTTTTTTGTCTAAATTGTGTATTTGTGTCACTTAGTACTACGATCTAGTGATATTATTCTTCGCTTGCAAGTGAAAGGTCTTAGGTTCGATTTTCTCGTCAAAGGAAAATTTAAACTACATTATTGCTAGCCTATTGTAAGACTAATCTCACTCATTCCCCTTAGTGTAGATATTATCATTTGTTCAAAAAAAAAATGATGTATTTGTTAGGTGCTAAGAATATTCTAACATCTCCAATTCAAATGCTAATGGAACTCTAAAAATAAAGAATTATAGTTTTATAACACATGCGTTTGTAGTTAAGTTAGGATTATGCTAAATTCAAAATTCATATCAAATAATATGTGGTGCTAAACGGATAGAATTATTAACAGTTATCACTGGTCCGCGAGCTTTTAATTCTTATATTAGTTGTTACACGTAAATCCTTCCAACTTAATATTGTGGGTATTTCATGATGCTATCGAATCTCCTTCTAAACATAAAAAATGCTTGATTTTGGCCTAACCTTTTCATCGACCAATCGCTCTTGCTAGAATTGAAATATAAAACATATACACTTTTTATTGTGACAATTATATTGATAAGGACATGGGCAAAATGGGAATTCGGTAATACATTATATCCCCTTGGGCACGGGGACCAAACAAGGGGAGAAAACGAAAGAAGAAAAACGTAGGGCACGGTCGCCGCCTGAATGTGAAGATGACGTGAGCCGCAAGTTACACGGAGATCGCTCCTTTTGTTGACAGCTATTAATTAATTAAATTGAACAGGTGTCTTGTATTTTTTTTTACACCTTTTTACAGGTTCAACTTCAAGTATTTGGAAATGAATTATCTTCGGATCTTTTCTTTCTAATTCATTAAGTTTGAAGATTCGGGCTATTGAAAATTGCTCTAACGGTTAAAGTTATTATAACTTTTAAAGTAGACTCTTGTTTATAGTCATTTGATCAAATTTCAACGATTCGAATTCTCAAACTTGATGGATTAAGAGAAAATGATCCGGAGATAATCCCTTTCTCAAATTGCACTTGTATTTATTTATTTCTTTTTTTAAGATATCTATTCATATTATTAGGGGTATATCCTTTTCGGGACAGCGATGCATTTATTATTTGAAAAATATGTAATTATTAGAAGAAAAAAAACTTGTGGCAAAAACGATGGCGATTCAGAAACAATGGATGATGCGTTTGTTATCGACGTAGTGCTAGCTACAAACCGGCAGCACTTGATTAGGTTAGTATGCTTAATTTGTCGAGTGAGAAATAACTTATATAACACGAATGTATTATTATCATTATGATTTCTTGTATCGATCATATGTTGCTATGTGTAAGAATCTTGGGAATTTTATTGTGTCATTAGCACAAAGTGCATATAGTGTTGCAGAGTATACGTACCATGTGAGTAATTCCGTATGCAGTCACTTTTTTTATGTGTGAAGTGGCTCTTGATCTTGTTAAGGTTCAAGACATTCCTTTAGAGTTTGGAGGAATAAGACTTGGCTGCTGAACATTTCAGCAGGAGGTCTTGTTTACACCCAATTTCAGATGGACACGTGTCCAAGTTTTGATTTTTTAAGATTCAGAACGTTCCTTTAGAGTATGTTGGAGGAATAAGACTTGGCTGTTGAATATTTCAGCAAGAGCTGCTTACACTCAATCTCAAGTGGACACGTGTCCAAGTTTTGATTTTTTAAGATTCAGGACGTTCCTTTAGAGTATGTTGGAGGAATAAGACTTGGCTACTGAACATTTCAGCAAGAGGTCCTGCTTACACCCAATCTCAGGTGGACACGTGTCCAAGTTTTGGGCATAAATCCTAATAGACTTCACCACAAGGATATAAATCTATATTTTTTTACCACAAGGGTTATCTTCCGAATATCATATGACTACAAGGATCATTTATCTAATTTGGCCTTATGTTTATCTACTGCACAGATATCAAAATTTAAACTCATCCAACGATAATAAATAAATAACAAGAATAGCCATCACTGTATAAGTAGTGAGCAAAACTATTTCTGTTTAAAATAACGATTTGTAAAAGAGAAACACAAAAACAAATGAATTTTGACGCTGATAAGAGCAGACGCGCCAGTGTGGGACCACACGCGGCTGCGAGACAGTATCTTTCACTTTCTCGCCTTATCTAGGTTTGAAAGAAGATGATGAGTACAATTGCGACCGGGGCAAGTGTGCAAATACTCATGACTTACGTATTGAATGGTCGGTCAGTTTTGAAAAATTTTTGGGTGTGCCGGGAACACCATGGACACATGGTGTTCCCTCACTCATAAAAATTTGAATAAATAAATAAATAAAATCAAATTTTTATGAGTGAGGGAACACCACGTGTCCATGGTGTTCCCGGCACACCCAAAAATTTCTCGTCAGTTTTGGACCACCAAGAAGGATCCCCTAGCTTTCCTTCCCTCTGCCCAGATCCAGCCCCACTTTCAGCTACGCTCACGTGGCTCACGCGGCTCACGCGCTAGCAGCTATACCCTCAACTTTTTCATTGTCCATAGCCGTTCTTAAGACAATAAATGAGATCATTTATACAAAGCGTTGGTTTGAAATGATAATGCTTTGAAAAAAATATAATTAACTTATTATAAAACATGAAGCATCAAAGAATATCAAACTAGTCTTATATTTATCTACGTTGGAAAGAGGGATTTGATTTTGAATACAAAGAGAGGAGCATATGGTCGGCCAACTCGATTAAACCCAAATCTAACGTAAGTGTCCATGATTGTTTGGTTAGTAGCATCCAACTTTAACATTGATGACAAGTTGCAAGTTCAAACTTGATGAATGGCATTTGTTAATTGAGAAATTCTAAGAAGACTCTCTCAAGTGGAACTCTTTATGAATTCTTTGAAATCTCATGCTTTTGGCACAATATTTTATAATATTGTCACGAAAATTGTACCAAAAACATGAGATGATGAAAAATCTATAAAAAAAATCCTACTTTTGAGAGTCTCCGCAATCTGAAAAACATGGAAAAATAGAAACTATTGAGACACACGGTGCATTATATGATCAACCAAATTATTATAAACATGATATATTTCAACACATGTTTTCTCTCATTAAATTGGCACACCTTGATCCGAATATCGAAATGGATACCAAAATGAAAGCATGTTGACTAACACTCGAGAGTGACAAAAGTCATAACTGCATAACATGCTAATGATGTGGAAAAAAGCATGCCACAAATAAGTTAGAAAAATCAAAGCAAAATGAATAAAAGCAGTAAATCACAAATATCTCAACAATAACACTATGCTCATCAAAATTAGAGAGACACACTCGAGTCTATACAGAAAGCAATTATATGAACAAACTAGGTGTATTAATCTACACTCAAGTACTACATGCACATAAAACTGACGCTAACCGTGTCATAAACGAGTCCTAATGTAAAAACAACTAGAACAGGCTAGCATCTATAATAAATCCAATGAACAAAATTGTGCGATGTGAATATACACGTTAAAAAACAACTAAGAACCAAATATGAATAAAGAAAACGTCATCATCACTGTACATAGTTATTTATTCCCCCCCTTTGTTTGGTTAAAGAATCAACTCTGAAATAAATAAAGGTCAACCGCATGCCAAACTTGTATTTTTCCTTTCCAATTCAAATACTTAATTCTTGGTCAGTTCAACTAAAAGAAAAGGTCAGCATCCAACAAAAAATAAAAAATAAAAAAACCAACAAAGCATACCACACATTTTCTTCAGGATCAATTATTCAAAAAAAATCAAATTTTCAATAAATAAAGGCTAACAGCTTCGTGATCATGTTGGATGAATTGAGGAATTCGTATCTCCATTTCAATGTGCCCCTCTCCATTTCTCTCCTCTCCTCACGTGAGAGGAGATATCGTGAGAGGGACACCAAAGCAGAAATTAAAAAGTATTTTCCGTCGAATAGGAATGCAGAAGGTAGATTTTGACCAAATCTCTCTAAACAAATCACCACGCAACATCCTTAATACACAGCACGCTAGGAAAGACCATGTTGCAATTTACAAACCAACAAATTAACCCAGTGGCCATTTGCCAGGCTGGAAGCCTTGGTAGCTAAGCATATGCAACGGCTCACTGGAACTAAACATAATTTAAATACTCACCTATCAATCTGAAAATCTCAAAGTTTTTCCCCTTCGGATAAGCTTATGAGCAATATAATAACATTCTTCTGTCAAAGAGAAAGATAATGATTGCAAAATTGGGACCTCAAAAGGGGGAATATAATAATTACCAATAAAATAAGACCTTGAAATTATTTATGAAAAACAACTAGGCATATATCCTAAGCATACGTTAATCTATGAAGATTCTTTAAAGTTTTTCTCGTAAGCACCTTTGCTAGAGGCACTTTTATTAAAGACGCCAAATTTTTAATAAAAATTTAAGTAGTTCCTAGAGAAGCATTAATACGAAGCACTTCTAAACGCATTTACAATATACACACTATCAACATTTTCTTGATTATCTAAAAGCGTTTTTAGCTATCGAAAAAGCACTTTCTAAGTCCCAATATGTCATTCAATTTAATTTTCTTTTCCTAGAACTTGAGTATTAGACATCCAAAATCCATCAGTTCCCCTCTGTTTATGGGTTGTATTTTGGCCTAACATTGAACACAAAACTGGACAACCAAAATGCATGTGGCAAACAGACACTCTTATCAATTACCCCTATAATATAGAGTAGGGCCTGAGGGAACAGGAGGCATGTTATGACCCAATCAACTTGGACCACTGAGGAATATCCAAATGTCAATCCAGTCATTTAGATTCCCTTTTTATGATTCTGGAAATAAAGATAAACATGAAGCAAATAATTCATTTAAAATAAAATAAAAAATAAAAAGTAGCAGACACAATTATTTACAGTTTTCTATGTTTAATTCTTGTTGATTTGAGGCCACCACAATTATTACAGCTAATTATTCTCAAAACTACTTTTTAGAAAAATATTGATGCAACAAATTGTTCTGTCCTAAAGAAATTTCAAAATTATAGATTTGGAGTAGTGATTCTCTCCAAAGTGCATGAGAAAGCAACCTATAATGCTATATAAAACTTATTCCCACCTATCTAGGTACACAAGAAAAGCATCAACAATAGAAACAGGCAGAGAGTCCTGATCCAATAGTTTATGCATCAAGCTAATATCTGCTCTTATATGTTTCTGAATACATGAGTACCATGAGAGAGAGAGAGAGAGAGAGAGAGAGAGAGAAGTATAATTTCAACAAAATAAGCTTGCATCATGATTTACAATCACCCAGTTATGGTTTTTGCAATGTTAAAATTTTGATTAGGATAGACTGGTTAAAAGCTTCCAAAGTGCTGTTTAGTTATCAAACACCAATGAACTAGAAAAGGAGGAGGGCCCTAAAGGGATTAGTGGTCTATGGATCGAACACCAAGCAATCAACCTATCACAGGCCAATATTACATAAACAAAGCGATCCAAAAAGCTAGACCCTAGGTAACAGGATGAAATAGGCAAAAGAAGACCAGGAAACATGCACCTATGTGTACAATCTCAGGGTTATTACTAAAAATGGCTTTCGGTGAAAGAAGTACTTTCCTTGCGAGCATACTGAAATTAGTGGTTCGCTGAATTGAAAGGTACTTGTTGCCTCTACGAAAGCTTTTACCGTCTCCGCAGAGGGCGCTGAAAAAAAGAAAATAGAGTTAACCTTTTAGAAACAATATGTGTCTTGGATACAAAAATCAAATACAACCAGTCACAGTTGTTAATGAGACAAATTGTCTCTCCCAACAAATAACACAAATAATCGCTTCACCTTCGCAATTCTACTAAACAAAGAAAAGAGAAGTATGGATCACATAGCCACATACTCTTGGTATATTGTCAGTTGCTTGTGGCCGTCTGGTGGACATTCCATCTGGATTTGGAACCAGCTCTGGACTGCCATGCTTATAAAATGCCTGTAAGGCTCTTCCAACAAATGGGCGAACTAAATTCACTTCCATGGCAGATAGATCCTTCACCTGCAAGTACAAATCAAATTTGCTCAAGAGCACCACTCAAAAGGGATGTGCAGATGGATATATTACCAACATACATGAATTCCATATTATATAACAATTCATTCGAAGTAGTTCCGAATCAGCTCATCCAATTGCACCATAAAATAAATGCACATACCATCACTGCAGAAGAGTGAGCTTCCTCGAATGATTCTAAGCTACTCTCAACCTTATGAAACCTTACATCCTTTATGTCGTTAATAAGAGACCTCACCTATTAGAAATAACTACAGTGAGATCATTGCAAATAGGGTTGATGGTTAAATACAGGTTGCAAGAGTCCTGAACTCACCATATACATGTCAGGAATGTCACCAGGTGCACTATCATCAAAAAAGTTAGAGATGCCATCAACATATTTTACAATGAAATATAAAATATGTACAATGTTTCACAACTTACTATTCAAAAAGAAGGCTAGAGATTTCAACATAATGGAAAGGTAGAACTTGAAATGCTGCCTGCGAATCACGCTCTGCTTCCAAAATCCGAGTCAAGTTTTCTATTCCCAGGACATAAGTTAAATGAATAGAACGCATTAGATTACTTGTAGCATATGGCTAGAGAGTTCAACACAATGAAAATTCGTTTGAGTTCCAATCCCATGTTAAGTAATAAGTACTACAAAATTTAACAAATGAACAGGTTCCAATTAATACGATTTTTTTTTTTTGGTAAAGACCGAAGACAATTAAATACGTATTATTTCACTATTGCATTAACACATTGAAAAAAAAACACACGTTAACCTAAAAACTCACATATTAACTGCTGATGTGCAAGCATTTCCAACAAAATACCCCACAACGGCAGCCAAAAGAAGCAAGACAAATTTTGAACTATTTGCAATGAAAAAGGCAGCATGGTAACCACCCAAATCCATCCATCATCAAAGCATAAAAATCTACTAGAAATCAATCCATTTCAGCACATTTCTTTGACATTCTTAGATAAACATGTCACAAATAGAGAACCATTAATCAAACTAACACCAAAGCAGGACTCACCGATAGACATCCACTCTGGTGGCCGAATTGTACATTTCCCTCTCTTCTTCATAGCAATCGCCAGCCACAATGGTACTTGGGCCGCCATTTGCGGGTAGAATGGACCGAAATCTCCCTGTAAATCCATGATACAAGTTACCCACCTGCAATAAACCAGCTCAATCTACCATAAATAACATGAACAGAGCGAAGAACATACACAAAGCATGTTGAGAGGGTCCATTCGCATATTGGGGACAATCTCCACCATTTCATCTTCGGCCATAAACTCGACCTGCGATTTCGAAATTTTAAATTAAATTCACAAAAATGATCGAAATTAAAAACAAAACAACCACATTAAGCTAATAAAACAGATGAATACGCAGTGGGAGAGAGCTGAACCTCTTCGCCGGAAAAGACAGACAGGCTGGGATCGGTTTGGCCGGCCATCCCTTGAAGTATCGACACCGGTGAAGAATTGAGAGTGATAGCGTTGCAATTTGAACCGAGTTAAGTCAATTGGGGTCAAATATTTGGGGATGCGGAATGGACTGGCGTGGACGCGTGTATCATAATTGGCGCTGCACAATTGGGGGATTTGTAAACCCTAACTTTGGTGGCGGGAAAATTGGATTTCATTGCTTAGGCCAACTCGAACCCGTCGCCTAAAAGCAATAATTTCCCTTCTACTCTCCCTTAATCCATTCCAACTCAATTCTAATTTGGACCTGTAACTTTAAAAAAATAAAAAATAAAAAAAACCAGAAACCGGCCCAGATTTAGCCTAGAAAATAGTGTAGGCCCAACCAACACAAGTTTTGAGTGCCAAACCCACCCCCAGGAGACGTGGGCAACGCATTAAGGTTGAGACAGGCATGGCCCCACCCACGTGGACATATCGGCCACTTGCGCCAAAGATCTAACAGCTCTTTTTAATCCAACAGCTGAGATAAACAGGTTGTTGGTTGATCCAACTGCCTACATTCAAATTTATTTTTTTATTTTTATATTTATATATTTATTGAATCAAACGGCTGAAATCGAACATAATTAAATCTAAAGGTTAAGAAAAAAAAAGATCTAACGGCTCAAATTTAAATCCAGCGGCTAAAATAATTAAAAATATATATTTAACTCAAAATTCACCCAAAAACTCTAAATACCTATATATTTGTTCAAACATCCACACAAAACTCACTTTTCTCCTACAATTCTTCCAATTTTTCTTTCTATCATTTCTTCCCATTTCCAAATTTTTCAATATGGCAAAATAGCATATTAAAGGTCGTAATTGGATCTTTGAGGAAGATGTTGTTTTATGTTTGGCATGGGTTTCTATTAGCGAAGATGGTGTCGTTAGCACGAATCAAAATAAAAAGGTTTTGTGGGGTAAAATCGTTGATAAGTTCAATGAAAACTCCAACGCCGGGCGAAGGGAAAGTGGTGGTGTTTACAACAAAGCATGCACTTTATGGAAGGGAAGCTTGGAGAGAGTCATTGTTGACATGGCTAATGGAAGGAGCGCCGCAAAAGTTGTGAGTTTCTTTGTTGATATTTTATTTGTCATGTACACAATATTATTTTGCAACTAATTATTTTTTTGTATTTCTTGCATAGGGTGACAAAGCAATGGCAATTTACAAGACAAGCACTACACCAAAAAATCAATCTTTTAAGTTGCATCATGCTTGGAACTAGGGGTGGGTTCGAAAAACCGAAAACCTAAAAAAACCGTACCGAAAACCGAACCGAGGACGAAAAAACCGAACCGAAAAAAAAAACTGAACCGAAAGTGTAAAACCGGACCGAACCGAACCGAAGTAAGGCAAAAGGACGTCGTTTTATATTTAATTATAAATTAATAAATTTTTTTATCTTGAACGGCGTCGTTTTTTCACTCACTCTCGTCTTCAATCTTTAGTTCAGTCTGAAAGTGAAACCCTAAACACTCCGCCGGCCTTCCCTTTCCCTTATCCTCCTCTGCAGCACTTTCACTCTGGACCATCTTCTTCCCAGCTCCGCCGCTCTTCCGCTTCGTCTTCTTCCTTCCCTACGACCTGCTGCAGTGCTACGACCTGCCTCACACATCGACGCCGTCTTACTCTCTCTCAGTCTCTCACCCCCACGACCTGTGATCAGTAACCCGCGCGCGACCCACGACTTCCTCTCGCCGTTTCTAGTCTCCAGTCCTGACCCACAAATTCCCTCATTTGCAAGGTTAGTCTCTCACCCAGTCACCCTGCTGTGTGCAGATTTTTTTTTCTCGATTTCATTGGTTATAATCTGTAGACATTTCTATTGGGTGCTATATTGCTATAACCATTGTTTTAATTTTGGTTTATAAACATTATTCAGACATTGTGTAACCTTATTCAGACATTTGTAATTTTGGTTATAAACATTGGTTCTGAATCTTCTGATTAAATAAACTCATGAGACATAGCAGATGTTTATATGCATAATCCTGCATCAACATTTTTGCCTTTTCTGCATTTTCTGCATAATCCTGCATCACATAATCATTAATCACACATTTTCTGCATAATCATGCATCAACATTTTCGCCTGTATCAACATTTTTGCCTTTTTTGCATAACCCTGCATCACATAATCACACAGCTGGTAAGATTCTTAGTTGGCAAGCCAAGGATAAGCACAAAGTTGTAATTTACAACCACTCAGAAAATTGTAACCTTCAAATTATGATGCCCAGTCTCGTAACAGGGCACCACATCAAAACTCAGCAACTCATTGATAATTTGATATAATCCAAGTGAACTTTCTCGATATTGTTACCAATACAAGATGACCAAGTTTCAAGTTTAGATAGACAATCTCTTACTCCTTCAGCCCACATCTGAAATCTAATCAAATTCTTGGTTGTTTCCCGCACCTATATTTCAATGTGAAAGTAGATGAGTATAATGTCTGTTAGGTAAAATTTCAGAACGTAATAGAAGATAAAAAGCAGTTAAAACTCACAGGATTCATATATATAAAAAAAGGGGGGAGAATTAAAGAAATTGCTGGGGTTGAACGACTTCGGATTGGCTCTCTTGGGATGTGCTACATGTAGTATATATTCTTTTTGCTTCTACATGTTTTAGAACTTGTTATGGTGATAACTCAAAATCGTGTTTATATCTTTGCTTTAGGTATATAATTGTCTTGGTATCTTCATTGAAGATAGATCGATAGCTACCTAGCTATCTTATAGGTAATTAAATGAAGATGTTAAGTAAATATTTTTCATAGAAATAGCCTCTACAATTCAACAAAAAAAAAAAAAAAGGAAAAAAAGAAGAAGAAAAGACAGTGTTTTAAACATCAACATCATAGGTAAATGATTAGTATATAATTAAGAATTTTTCAATTTAATTCCATATTTACCATAAAGGGAAGAAAAGCCATAAAACTAAGTGGGTTTCTTATTGATTGATATTCATGATGGAGTACTTGAAAATGTATATGTGTTATTTGTTGGTGAATTCTTGAAATGGAAACAAAACAATAATCTGTGTTGGATACAAAATTCTCACAACATGTCCACACATGCATGCAGTTTCTTTTGCCTATAAATTGAAAACTTGATAGTGATATGTAACAAGCTATATACTGAATTGCAGACTTGTATTATATCATTGTATGGGGTTTAGGTTGGTTTGCAGCATCATGTGTGGTGGATTAGCATGGACTACAGGACTAGAAGTCTAGACCCCAATTAAAATTGAAATTCACATTCTGACCCAACAAAAATAAAAAACGCCTCTAAACATTTCAAATATTATGGTTTTTTAGTTTGTTTGTTGTTTTGAATCAAAAGAAAGAAATTTCAAATATTTGATTGGATAGGAATACCTCTAAATTTTTGCCCCCATTTTTTTGTGGGGGGTGGGGCGCATTTTTGTGTGGGAGTTGTCTCTATATTTGCATGTGCATTGTACCTTCGGTTTATTATGTGCATTCATAGCTTTTGCATGTGCATCGTACCTTTGCTTATTATATGTTTTGTATCTTAATTAGATGAAGTCAAGTGTATCAAAGGCCTCGAGCTTAAGCTCAAACTCAATGAGATCATCAAATAGCTCCCGTGAAAAAATAAACTCATCTACTTCTACTCCATCGCAAGTAAGTTGTCATCTCTAATTCTCTATATTTTCTCTATGGTTCTTATGTCTCAATTTATTTAATAATTAATTGTAATGATTCTTACTCTTATTTTTTAAGGACATTGTTGGTGAATCAACTCCACCTCAAGCCCCCATGGTGGCAACTTAACAAACTCCTTTTACTCATGGTGGATCCACAAATTTATTCGATGCAACTCCAAAACAAGGTGGCTCAAGTGATCAAGTAAGTAAAGAAGACACTCTCTTGGATTCACTAAAAAGTCATTCAAGATCTACAATTTGGGAGCATTTTGATAGGATAATTGAGGGAGGTAGAGTTAAAGGGGTGTGCAAGTATTGCAACAAATCGTATATGGCCGACACGGATAAAAATGGTACAACTAGCATAAGAAATCACTTAGCTAGATGTAGGAGCTATGGTCCTAATAAGGAAATATTTGCCGCAAATAGGCAAAAGATCTTAACCTTTGCCGGCACAAAAGATAAGTTACTAAGGCTTGTGTTGAGATGATAATTATAGACGAGTTACCTTTTTCTTTCGTTGAGGGAGATGGTTTTCGTCATTTTTGCATGTATGCATGTCCTTTGTGGAGAGTACCTAGTCGTAAGACAATAGCTAAAGATGTACTTGGCTTGTTTTACTCCGAAAAAGAGAAATTGAAAAGTCAGTTGAAAACATTTAGGGTGTGTTTAACAACGGATACATGGACTTCTATTCAACAAATAAATTACATGGTTCTCACCGCTCATTTTATTGATGATGATTGGATGTTACATAAAAAGATTTTGAACTTTTGTGTCATTCCAAATCATAAAGGAGAATTCATTGCTCAACTTTTGGAGGAGTGTTTGGTGGAGTGGGGCATAGAGAAGGTGTTAACTATTACGGTTGACAATGCTTCGGCAAATGATTCCGACTTAAGGGATTTGGTGCACCGAATAAGTGGGTGGGGGATTCCTAATGCACTTTTGCATGATGGAAAGTATTTGCACATGAGGTGTGTTGCTCATATCCTTAATTTGGTGGTGAATGATGGGATAAAGATGTTGAATACCACCATACAAAGCATTCGTAATGCGGTTAGGTATGTAAGATCTTCCCCTCAAATGTTGGAAAGCTTTAAAAGGTGTGTTGAGAAGGTGAGAATAGAAAGCAAAGGGCTTGTGATTTTAGATGTGCTTACTAGGTGGAATTCCACATTTTTAATGTTAGAATCGGCTTTGAAGTTCAAGATGGCTTTTGATAGTTGAAAGTAGATGATGGTCATTACCTTCCTTACTTTACTAAAGAAAATCATGATAATATAAGGGAGGGGCCACCTTCGACTCATGATTGGAGTGAGGCGGGAATATTTGCATCATTTTTTAGACCTTTCTATGAAGTCACTTTAAAAGTGTGTTGTTCTAATACTCCAACAATTCATACTACTTTTGGTGATTTGTTTAAGATCAAAAGTCTCCTCCTTGAAAACAAAGATAATGAATTCTTGTCTATGATCTCCAAGTTGATGCAAGAAAAATATGACAAATATTGGGGTTCAATTGATGATATGAATCAATATGTTTTTATTGCACTTGTGCTTG